TCTATGCTCTAACTACGAAAATATTTGATTTACAAATAAGGAATCCTACTTCGCGGAATTTCATTTATCACGGTAGGGTCTAGAACCGATTAACCGCAATAAACGAGGGTTCACTGTACATCAGTTTTCCATTCAACAGTTCATCCACATTTTGTTTCATCTCATTGATTGCAATCCCCACAATGTAACATTATGCATCCTACTTCCATCCTGTTTCCTGTTTCCATTTCCCCTTCTTTCCTAACCTGCTGAACTTCGTCCTTGGGGAAATGCTCTCCTTTGGGTCTCAGAGGGTTGATTATCCCAAGGTGCCCATAGCTCCCCAGTGTTCCCCACATAAACGTGTGTGTTGTCTGGCTGGAAAGTAAGCCATCCTCAGGGGGATGAGTTCATGCCCAGACTAGAAAGGTGACTAAGGGCTGTAGTCTCAGGGGTTTCACCACTCCCTATCTGACCAGCGAGTCGGAACGTCTTAAAAAAAATAAATTTTAGTTTTGTTCCACATTTTTCTCCCAGCTTACCCAGGACCTTTAAATGTGATTCATTTCAGAATCATTGGTAGTGATAGTTGGGCACCATTTAGTTCTTCTGGTCTCAGGCCCATGAAAACGAATGTTTACGTGCTCCATTAGTCCAGAGGACTAGTTGTTTCCATGTGTCTTTAATTTTCTTCATTCTGTTATGACAGCTGGCCTTGGTGTTCCTTAGACTATGGTCCTGAGTCCCCAGGCCCTGTAACTCATTTCTTCCAAATGTGTGGTTTATCTTGGAAGTTTTCCCAACTTTATCCCCAGTATACTCCATCACATTCATGGAAACATTTGCAGCAAAGTTAAGTATTCAGGTACCAATATCCTCTGTTGAACCTATGGATACATGCGGGTATACTCCACTCTCCCTCCCATACCCTTTCATCCTGCATGTCTCCTCATGCATCTGCCCATAAACCAAAACAAGCAAACAAACACCAAGCTCACTGCCATCAAGTCAGTGCCGACTCAAAGCCATCCTTTAGGACAGAGTATGATTGCCCCAGTGAGTTTCTGACACAGTAACTCTTTATCAGAGTAGAAAACCTGGTCTTTCTCCTATGGAGTGGCTGGTGGTTTAGAACTGCTGACCTTGAGGCTCACACCCCAATGTGTAATCACTATGTGTGAATCGACTCATCCATCACCACCACTGCAGGATGTGCTTATAGCAGCATTTACCTCTGTTGCCTTTAATTCTTGCACTCCTCCCAATGTCTTCCCCCACCTCCATCATGTTTGCTGCTTCCACTTATTGTATATTGCTTTTCCCTTCACCCCAGTAAACACGAGTCTCCCTCTAGCCAGTAATTCACTCCCTGTTCCCTTCTCCTGCCTTTTCCCTGAGGCACAGCTCATGTATAACTGTTTATAAATGAGTACCATTATATTTAGTGACATATCATTCCCATTACTTCGTCTTCACCTTTTACGGTAAGTTCCTTACATCTATTTGTACACCTACGTCATTTTCAGGCTGAATAGCTAAACACCCATTTTCCCAAAACCTATTTGACAAGATGAGACGGATTTCTTAAGATATTCCTCATTTCTTTCCTTCCTTCCTTCCTTCCTTCCTTCCTTCCTTCCTTCCTTCCTTCCTTCCTTCCTTCCTTCCTTCCTTCCTTCCTTCCTTCCCTTCCTTCTTTCTTTCTTTCCTCCTTTCCTTATTTATTTTCCATGTGAAACTCTGCAAATTTCCCATTGGCACAGACAATGAAAACCCAACAGTTGCCATTTGTCTTGGTTTGTATGTCACATTGTTAGCGGTCATCACGTCAGCCTCCAGCGCACGATGGCCTGTGAACAATGGGACAAAATGCTGTCCAGCCTCTGGAGTCCCCTGATTGTGGCGGGTCAGAGCTCACAGGCTGGCTTTCAGCAGAACATTCCAAGCTTTCTTCCTAGACCATCTTCGTCAGGAAGCTCTGCTGACGTCTGTTCAGCATCACAGCCCCGTCCGTGTAAGCCTCCGCTGACAGAGGAGTGGATGAGTGTGGCGGCTGCACATGCGCTGCATCGTCCAGGAATCGAACATGGGTCTCCCGCTTAGAAGGCAGAGGATACTGCCAGTGAGCCACCACTGCCTCTCACTCAGCTCTACTGTGTAGAAGCTGCCTATCACATGCTCTTGTTTACTTTCTTCTAGCGGTATTCACTAATATCCTTCTCTCTTTATAATAATAATGTTTAAAAAACCCAACTCACTGAAATTGACTTGCTGCCAACTCATAGTGAACCTATAGGGCAGGAAAAAACCACTCCTGTGGGTTTGGACACTCTAATTGTTTACCAGAGTAGAAAGCCCCATCTTTAACCTGAGGAGTGACTGGTGGTCTTGAACTGCTGACCTTGCCATGAAGGCTCCTGTTCTTTTTATAATAAGGATATTCTGATTCTAGCTGGAAACCATTGGCAACGCCCAAAGTAACCTCAGACTGAAGAGCTGCCAATTTACGACCAGCAGAGTGTGAGAGGAAGTGGCCATGGCCAGGAGACCTCGGCAAATCTGCAAGTGCCCACTGTCACATAATCAACACTTGTGTCTGCATCGACAAAGCACAGCACCCACTAGAGGCACATTGCAGCCAGTCATCCCCTTGTGCGGCTGGCAAAGCCTGGTGCCCTCAGCTATGCAATGCACTTACCCCAAAGAGTACAGGCGACACTTCTTGCTGCGAATTTGATGAGCCAAGCCAAACCGATCATCGAGACAGACTGACCAGGGCTTCTGGACGGGGCTGGAGTCAGTCACCAGACTATCTGTACTCATGTGATCACATGCGATCTGTAGGGATTGGAAATCAATGTGAACCATTTAAAATGCTGGGTGATAAATGGCAGACAGAGACCTCTGTTCCCCCAGTCCCTCAAACCCTGATAGAACAGTGATGTCCTCCACTGCTAACTACTCTCCTCCCCTGGGAACACAGGGTTGCTATCAAATGTGTGGAGGGATTTAAGATACCAGACCAGCCGTGACCTAGTACAGACCATAAGCAGGCTTGGAAGGAAGCTTAATGCTACTGATTTAGGGGTACCTGAGTAGCTCAGTATTAACCTCTACAGAATGTAATAATCTTTGGTCTTTACCAAAGTCTACCTTTCTGTCTATTTCCTTATGCACGGCTGCTTTATTGACCATAATGACCCTAAGGAGCTGGTGGACTGTCCACTGTGAGTGAGAACAAGCACACGGGTGCCACGCCATGTGTTGTTTTACATATTTTGTCACCAATATTTGATACCAAGTGTCCACTGCGGTACTTCCTTTGCCTAGCATATTAACTCTTCATTGTTTGTTTGTTTTTGTTGATGGTTGGTTGATTCAACTGTCTATACTTTTCGTTTTTTGAAATTGGGAATTAGGTGAAGAGTGGACCATCAGTGTTACATTCAACAATCCATATGCATTTTGTTTCCATTGCAAGCCCCTCAAGGTGCCATCCCTTAGTGATCCCGGGTGCTCCTGTATTTCCCATTTCTATTCCTCCTCCTTTCCTAACCCTTCGTATTGGCCTTAGTCAAATGCTGCCTGTTTGATCTTGCATGGCGGTTATTCTAACACAAATGTGAGTTCAATGCCAGACCTAACGGGTGACTGAGGGCCACAGTCTTGGGAGTTCCCCCCATCTCTATCCGACCAGTAAGCCTGGTTTCCTTTATGACATTGAGCTTTTTCCCCATTCTATCAAGATCCTTCTCATGTGATCCATTTCAGAGCAGTTGGTAGTGACAACCGGGCACCACCGAGTTCTTTGGGTCTCAGGGTGGTGGATGGAGACTGGTGTGTCTATGGACACACCATCCCTTGGGTCAGTTGCTCCACGTGTCCTTTGGTTTTCAACAACCTCTTTCCTCTGGATGATGAGAGAGCGATCACTGCACCTTAGGGCCCTGCTCACAAGCTTTGAAAACTCTGGTGCCTACTCACCCAAGTAGGATTGAGAACATTTCCTTTGTGAACTATTCTGCCACTTGCCCATGGTTACATATTTTTTTATTATTCCGCAGGTCCCATAGTCATATAGGAAGGGGCTTCAAACAGTGTGTGGAAAAATGGAAAGAAAAGATCATCATTTTCCATGAACTTTTCCAAGTACCCGCCTATCTATTCCAAAGCCACCACTGGGCCACTAGAGGACACACGTGTTACTGCGTTATGCGGTACGTATGCTCAGGCCTGTAAAACTAACAGTGTGGCTTGGGGTGTTCCCAGCAGAGGATTCTGACTGTGAAGTATTTACATGGTGATACCAAGAAAAATATTCTCATGTGTAGGGATTGGTTCACTGAGCTGCAGGAATGGGTATCAGTATTTACTGAGAAACAGAATGAAGCAACCTAAAAGGTTGGCAGAGTCCACCCAGAGACACCTGGGCAGAAAGGCCTGGCCACCCCCTGCCGGGAATCGGCCATCAGAACCTCATGGAGCACAACCCCATTCTGACACACAGGGGTCCTCGTGAGTCCGAAAGGACCGGATGAAAACTAGCACTTTTCCTCCTGTAGCCATGTGCACAGCACACCCCACTTGCCCCTCAGTTTGTCATACTGTGGTGACTGACCGTGTGTGGCTGTGACGGTACAAGTTATGCCACTGGCGTTTCCGATCCTGGCAGGTTAACCATGGGGAAGGCGTTTCCTGTGATCGGACTTCAGGAAGAAAGACTAGGCGCCCCCCTTCTGACGGATTCACCACGGGCAGTTCATGAGCAGCAGTGGAAGAGCAGCAGACCAAGCACCGCCAGATGAGCACCCCCGTCAGAAAGCATTCAGAAAATGAGTGGGAGGAACTGCCTGCTCAAAGGAGAGTTGTCCTTAATCGCATGTTGGAGCAGAGCTTCCGGATGTTCATTTGTGGATGGGGTATGATGCAACATGACAAGAAACAGCTGCAAACTTCCATTCATAATCAGAATGAGGATTGTACGAACGATAATCTAGGAAAACTGGAAGCAGTCAAAAATGAAATGGAATGCATGCAGATGGGTAGCCTAGTCACTAGTGAAACGAAATGGACTGGTATTGGCCATTTCTAATCAGACTATCATATGGCTTCCGATGGCAGGAATGAAAAATTCAAGTGGAATGGAGTCATATTCATGATATCCATGTACTAGGCTGACTATAATAGGATTGAATCCATATACTTAGGAGCAGGGATCCTCAAACTTTTTAAACGGGGCCAGTTCACTGTCCCTCAGACCCGTTGGAGGGCCGGACTATAGTTAAAAAAAAACTATGAACAAATTCCTATGCATACTGCATATATCTTATTTTGAAGTAAAAAAACAAATGGGGCAAAAACACCCAGCAGGCCAGATAAATGTCCTCGGCAGGCCGCATGTGGCCCACGGGCCGTAATTTGAGGTCCCCTGCTTAGGAGGAATAGCAATTAATACAACTATTCTTCAAATGTATGCAGTAATTACTAAAGTCAATGATGTGGAAATAGAAAAATTCTACCAGCATCTTCGTTCTGAAACCGCTCACATATGCAACCCAGATGCACTACCATCACTGACTGGAATGTAAAAGCTGGAGACAAAGAGGAAGGCTCAGTAGTAGGGACAGAAGGACAGAAATGAACTGGACATCACATGGCAGAATTTCGCCGGGCAAACAAGTTTTTCATTGAAAACATCTTTTTCAATAACAAAGAGAAAGGAGCCCTGGAGGGGATGTTGGGTGAGCCCTGTATTGCTAACCAAAAGATCAGTGGTTCCAAACCCACCAACTGCTCCCAGAGAGATGGGTGATCTGCTGCCACGTAGAAATGGATAGCCTTGGATGGGTCTGGGATGGGTCATAACGGACTGGATGGCAGTGGGTGGCAGGTTACACACAGGGACCTCGCCACATGGAATACACATGAACCAAGTCGGCACCTCTGTGGAAAGGGGGATGGGGAAGCTCACTATCATCAGGCAAAACAAGGTCAGCCGCTGACTGTGGAACAAACCATCAATGGCTCACATTCAAGTTGAGGATGAAGCTGAGGCACGTGAGAGCAAGTCCTTCAGGCTCTGGAGACTATTGCCTGAGGACTATGTATATATAGACATACACATACAGGTACATGTATGTATATGTCCTGGGAGCTGGACGCTGGCATCTACAGTGGGGAGAATCCCCTCTGCTAACCTACTACGGAGTGACTGATAACAAGAGCAACCTCCCTGGGCTCCATTTGGATGTGCCAGAACCTCCCCCAGCTGGACACTGTAGGCTGCAAGACTACGGTGAACTGCCAAGGAGGCCCCCGCTGTGAAGTCTGTCCTCCAAGTCAGCACTCTGTCTGCCTCCCTGTGTCGCCCACCGCTCCGGCCTCTGAGACCCACAGGACAAACCTCTCTGGGAGTCCCGTAGGCTTCGTCTGCTCGCACTGCCGGCCGGCCGGTGCTGAGACCTGCGGTCGGTGCTGAGACCTGCGGACGGAGGGTGCTGTGTGCTGGAAACAGGAGTCTTGCTTGCAGGCTGCACTCACAGTTTACCACCAGGTGGAGGGAGCGGGGGCTCTGAGAGCAACCAGGCAGACCACCATGGGGATCTGACCAGAGCTGACACCTCTCCCCACCAGGCTACAGAAACTATTGGAGCTTGGTGGTATAGTGGGTTACACGTTGGGCTGAAAGCTGCAAGGTCAGCAGTTCAAAACCACAAGCTCCCTGCGGCTTTCTCCTCCGGTAACGAGTTTCAGTCTCAGAAGCCTGCAGGGGCGGCGCGAGCCTGTCCAACAGGGTGGCTAGGAGTCACTTGATGGCAGTGGGTTTTTGAGAGGCTACAGACAGCCCCTCTAATGGAGTCTGCTCCCATAGGCAGTCAGCACCCCACCCACCTCTCTATGCAGCCCATAGCTCAGGCCTCTGAAACCACAGGACCGACTTCCCTGGGGACCAGTTTGGGTCTGTTTCCCCCACATTACAGTCAGCACTGAGAATGGCTGAGTAAGACAAGCATCCTGAGGAGAGGCTACACCCACAGCCATATGGGACAGGGTGGGCTGTAAGTCAAAAGGCAGCCTTCTCGGCCCAAGTGCAGTGGGACTCCCTAACTGGTACCTATCGCCTACAGGCCTGGGAGTGAATGCTACAGAAGGTCCTCCACAGGGAGTCAGGAACTGGGTGCCCTGTGCAGAAACTGCTCCTTCCATCACCCCAGGGTCACTGGGGCTCTGAAACCCACATCTTCCAGAGGGCCTTCTGGGGAAGTGTCAACTCTTCCTCCTGAAACAGACAGGAGTCAGCCTGTGCTTCCCCGGAACACCAGGTCAAATGGAAGCAGCCCTCACGGAGCAGGGAAGGAAATCGAAGACAACAGGCAGCGCTGAAGGGACCCTGCTGGGTGTGGGTTTTATGGCCACAAAAGTGAACTGTGCTACCAGGGAACGGGAATAATGAGAGGTGACTGTGCCCCTGATTGAGAGTGGTGCCCCTGATGGGCAGACCAACCACACTGTGTTCTCTCCTGTGTGTGGGAGAGATTGGAAGTTGAAAGACAAGATTTGGAACGCTTGGATCTCCATTAGACCAAGGATGGAGAAGGTGTTCTGACCCAGAAAGAGGGGAGACAAGAAGAAAAGGCGAAGGTTCTGCTGGCCTACGGGTTTCGTATAGAAAGCAGCGAGGGCAGAAACGGGCCACACGGGGAACTGAGACTGAGAAGGGCCTTGGAAAACCCAGTGCTCCAACGAAACAAGACCCACAGATAACAGCGAAACAGTGGCCCCTTACGTGGACATGACAGCGAACATGCATGTGCATCTAGGAATGACCAGCGAATGAA